CCTTTTCTATTTCTTTTTACTGTCCTCTCTCTCTCTCTCTCTCCCTCTCTCTTTCTCTCTTCATCCTTCTAGCGCATCTTCTTTGATATTTCGCCTATCTCGCAAAGCTCCGTACCCATCATCGACTTTACCGCATGAGATTTCCCGAGCGGCTAACTAAATTGGAATACCCTTTTTGGGGGTGTAATAATGGTGATGATAAAGGTGGGAGATGTGGGAGGGTGGGAGGGCGGGCGGGAGGGAATCAGGGGGAGAGAGAGAGTATACACTCGCGATATAATTTGTCGGAAAATTACAAATAAACGTAACAACCGACTGTAATTAACCTTCCTCGCGCCATGGGAGCAGTATGATATGCATAGATAGAGTAAATGAGAGAGAGAGAGAGAGAGAGAGAGAAAGAGGAGAGAGAAAGAGAGAGAGGGAGAGAAAGAGAGAGAAAGAGAAGAGAGAGAAAGAGAGAGAGAGAAAATGACTGTTAATGGCAAATGATGCGCCAATATGGCTTTTAATTCGTATACAAATATTTTGTTGATGATTTATTATATTCGATGTATCTATCTACCATTTGAATGATACGTATTTCTCTCCTCATTTCGTCAATTACGATTTTGACGCAACAAATTTGAAAAATATTTCCATCGTTCATTTATCTTCCACTTCTTCCTTTTCCACGTTTTACTTTTTGCTTTGATACATAGGTGCGAGAACGATAGAATACAAAAAAAAATTTTTTTGCTTATTCCAGCGAGAAAGTAAAGGAAATTTCCAAAGGAGAAGTTAAACGCGCTGGAGACACGTATATCCGAAAGGATCAAACGTGATCCTGGCTTGGCAGGTCCTGCCAGGACTAAGTCGTGGTCAGTCCTATCTACAAGATTCAGGACTTCGAATTATGGCTTTACGAACGAAGGGTCCGACACATTGTGGGGAAAGTTTTAAAATTATAGGATATCCTGCGATTATAAGCAGGATCCCTTAGTCTATCGATTTTCTACAACTGGAAGTAAGATTGATAAGTGGTTAAAGACCGAAACGCCGTATCGTTCGAAACATTTCAACGATTTTATCATTTTCAAAGATTTTTTTATTTGTTTGAAAGATTTTATCATTTTCAAAGATCATTTTTTATTTGTTTTCTTTTTTCTCTTTTTTTCTTCATTTTAAACATAAAATTATTCTTATCCCGATCTCATTTGAGATTATTTCATGTGAGATTAGAAAAGAACGCAGATACAAAATATCGGATGAGAATAATTTATCGCTTTTTTCATTTCTTCAAAAAAAAAAAAAAAAAAAAAAAAAAGAAAAAAAGGAAAAAAAGAAAAAGAGAAAAAGAAAAGAAAATAGGTTTCTCCACGGAAGATTGGACGAATTTTTCGCATATTTTCCTAGGCGATATTCTACGTAAAAATTTTTCTACGAAAGAGATCGAAGGGACGTCAACAGCTTGATAACCGTTCACATGTGAGAGGAAAAATCGAAGAATTTTTTAGGAGGATCGGCAAAGTCGAGCATTTCAAGAGGATCACGAAAAGATCGCCGTCGTCATCGTTCTCTATCCAAGCTGAAATATACATATCTCTCTCTCTCTCTCTCTCCATTTCTAGTCTCGTACATTCACCCAAAGGTCCTGATTTTCAAGATTCATCGATGCCTCGCAAGTTCAATTCGCATGCACGGCGGATAACGTGATCTTACCGTAAAAATACTGAAGAAAAAGATAAGAAAAGGAAAAAGAAAAGAGAAGAGAAGAGAAGAAAAGAGAAGAGAAGAAAAGAGAAGAGAAGAGAAGAGAAGAGAAGAAAAAGAAAAAAAAGGAAAAAGAAGAAAAAGAAGAAGAAAAAGAAAACAAGGGACATAAGTTACACCACGAAGAGGAAAGAAAGAGAGAACCATAAATTTCTGTATCGGTTCCTTCCTATAAGCTATGAATCAGGATTTTTCGGACGGCCATATTCCATATATGGTCTCCACAGATATCCACCACTTTGAAACGACGGATTCTGGGATGTTCCCATAACCCCTGATACATATTCCTAAGATGTTCACCTTATCCTGGCTAGTTCGATCCTTTTACAGCATCCATTCGTTTTCGTTGTCTGTAACGTCACCGTATCTTCAAAAATGAACCAACAGCCATCTTCTTTATCGGGCTATTGTTTCTTTAAAAATTTATATCTACGTTGTATCAAAAAAAAAAGAAAAAGAAATCCTGTTTTATCAACACTTCATTATCACAAGATTATTTCAACTTATCTGTATAAAGAGAATGATTGTTTATTCTATCACCAAAAAACGAACCATTCATTTTCACTGTCTAAATATAAGCATATATTATCATTTGAAAACTATATGTTAAATATATGTATAGCTATATGAAATCATTAAAGGTTAACGAAAATCTTGATCTATCCGTATCGTGATTTATTCGTAGGAAGATACTTAACAAATAATTTATTCTGTTCTTTCCTAAAAAAAAAAAAAAAAAAAAAAAGAAAAAAAGAAATATACCGAATTCACCTTCGTACGTTGGCGAATAGTTCGGAAACGTTCGAGTAACAAGTAACAAGCAAAAGGCGGAATTCTTACGATAGCACTTTTTGAAAGACAAAGATACATATAGATGGTGGAAAGCAAAGATCGTCGCTTAATTCAAGAGATCCTAGGACCCTTCCGACCCTTACGATGAAACGAAACGAAGCAAAAGAGAAAAAGAAAAAGAGAGAGAAAGACAGAGAGACAGAGAGACAGATAGAAAGAGAGAAAGAGAGAGAGAGAGAGAGAGAGAGAGAGAGAGAAAGAAAAAAAGAGAGAGAAAGAGGGTTCGCTCGTAATCGCTCGTCGTTATGGGGTCTGCACAATGCGTGCCAGGACGCGATTCCACGATACCACCCCCATTGTCTATTGGGTTCACTGTTCACCTCTTACCCCCCTTGGCCTTCGTTCTTGTGGAATACGTCCGTGACGACTGACTGCGGTTTAACCTCGGTGGTTTAGCACGCTCAAACGATCCCGTTGTCGGCTCCTCGGCATCTTATTCCCTTTCACCTTGTCGATAAGCGTAAGAGAGAACAAATTATTTAAGTACTTTGTACTTTAATTTCTCAAATTGAAAAATTTCACGTGAGTCCTTTCATATACTATAATATAATAAATATATATATATATATATATATATATATATATATATATATATGTTTGTATGTATATGAATGTATATATGTATATATGTATGTGAATGTATATATGTATGTGAATGTATATATGTATGTATATATATATAATTAAGTATGAGTCAATCGTTGATCTTCACTAAACGAATAATTCTCATGAATAAAAATTTTTTAATAAATATAATAGATAAATAATTATTTATAAATAACAATAAATGATTATAAATTAGGAAAACACGTCCATTCATCATAAATTATTAATTATATGATATATTTAAATCAATAAATAAACTTAATAAATACTTCTCATTAATTCTTATTAATATTAATAAATATAATTTTAATTAATTTCAAGTTTAAACTTTGTTAATTAATACGAATTAATATCATGAATTATATTATAATATAGAATATAACATAGAAATATAAAAGGAATGAACTTTAATCTATATTAATATTTGAAACAATACATATTTTTCTCAATTATCAAATTGGTATCAATAATATTAACTTAAAAATGAAATATCCATTTTGTTCCCAAAAACAACATGGTAAATTATATAATATCCTTTATGAAGGTGTATATATTGTAATTAAAAGATAAGACGTGTGAGATCTAACGACATTTTGTAATTCTGCAAGGTGACACATCGCATAAACATACACGCACACATAGACGAATTCTAAACCATCGCGTATAATCTTATAGGTCTCACACCGACAAAATAGTATTAGAGTTAGCTGACTGGCTCGAGACGACGACTTTGGTCATCTAATTTCATCAGCCAAGTAACATACTATGAGAAGCTTGCTTGCTCGCTTGCTTGCTCGCTTACTTGCTCGCTTACTTGCTCGCTTACTTACTCGCTTACTTGCTTGCTTACTTGCTTATATCACGGACATAGTATATATGTATACGTGCGAAAGCGTGAAATGCAAATCTGTTCGTGACCAAGTATCGTTCGTGCCGACGGGAATATAAAGGAAGAGAAGAAACGGTAAACAGGGGAGAAGAAGAAAATTGAGAGAAAGCGAAAAACTCGATCACGACGAGCGAACGTGTTTTTCTGCTACTCTTAATAATGATTAATGAGGATCAGTAGTAACGATAAATTGAAATTTATTCGTTAAACGAATTCTCTCTCGTAAAACTGATGTTACTTTAGTTTTCCTATTTACTTTATATAGCATAAATGATAGAAGTAAAGAAAAAAAAAAAAAAGAAAACAAAATTACTTCACAACGGAAATTAACTTTAAATACTTTACAATAGAAATTAAGTTTAAATAAATATATTTTAATATATATATATATATATATATATATATATATATATATATTGGACTTGCAGATAACGCTTGTAAAAATTAGCATATGCCATAAGTGCATATGAATACATGTATATGAATACGTGAAAAGGAATATGTTAATTTCGTTGAAAAAAAAAAAAAAAGAAAAATGAAAAAGAAAGAAATGAAAGTAAATTGAATTCATTAATTACATAAAGGTATATTATATATAATTATTATATATATTATTATATATACATATTTATTATTATATAGTTTTAATTTTGTTGATAATATGGTATGTGTTTTTGATATATTGATTGGAAAATAGAATCAAGATAGACAAAAAAAAAAAAGAAAAAAGAAAGAAATAAAAATAAGTTGAATTTATTAATTGTATTAAGTTATATTATATATAATTATTATACATATATTATTATATATATTAAATTATACTAGTTATATTAACAATAAGTAATGCAATAAATACGAATATATACGATATAAATATTAAAAAAGAAAATGATTCGTTTAAGTATCGCCATAATATAATATAACAATAACGCTATATAATATAATTTTCGTTCGTTCTTCCACCTATTCTTAGAATATCACGACTATACGTTGGCCATTTGTCAAAAGGAATAGCATTACAGCTCTTACAATGGTACTATCTGATAGGATCTCATATCGAGCAAATTGAAAAAGAGAAATCGATTCACAGTAAGAATAATAAATTGCTTTATGTAAGAAGGACACACCACCGAATTTATTCCACTCGTTCGGGACGAATCGAAAAATAAATCGTTTTCTTTCGATAAAACCTAATATTTCTCTCTATGTAACTTTATGTTTCTACGAAATAGAATTTAAAACTCTCGATTATTAAGATAGAAAAAACTCCTGCTCTTAATGTTTACAATCTTAAGAACGAAAGAAATACATCATACAAAAGTAAACGAGTTAAAATAATATATACGTAGGTATATTATCATACATATATATACTACATATATACGTAGATATATTATCATTTTGCAAAAGGAATCATATCATAAAATCTACATAAATTTCTTTATTAAAAATATTTATTTAAAGAAAAGGAGGAGAAAGAGAAAGAAATAAAGAGAAAGAGAGAGAGATAAATTTGACAACAAATGTAAATATACACGTTCTATCATAATTCATATCGTATCTCCATAATTATCGATAATAATTTAAATTTTCATCGATCGTATAGATAGATCGTAAAACTAAACACATTAATCCTCTTATAAATGATCCAAATAAATTATTTGTATAATATGAATAAAGAGGATTATGTTGTATTTAGGTATATCAAAAATAAAGAAGTTTCCAATCGATATCTCGTAGAATCTCTTCCCGAAAGAGGATTTTAATACCAGTGAAATCCTATCCACGTCGACAAACGGGAAATGGCTGATTCATATTCAAACAATTTTCCACGTGGCGTTAAGAGGATGCCAGGTGCGGGCCACTTATAATAATGCACGAAGTGAAATTATTCAAACACCACCCTTCCTCTCCGGCGCCTCCCAAACCCCCCTTTTTCTCTACGTCGACGAAGAAAGAGAAAGAGAGAGAGAGATAGAAAGAGAAATATAGAAAGAGAAAAAGAGAAAGAGAGATAGGGAGTTCGTCCTCTTCTATCGGCGTTGTCCCTTCAAGTTTTTAGCATCTTGAAGTAGTCTTCGAACGAGAACCCCTTCTCCGTCTTTCTTTCTCACGATGCTTTCTATCCTCTCAGTCGAGAAAGTAAGTACTTTAGAAAATCCTTCAATTCACTGACTGTACTTTTCCTCTGTGCGTTCAAAATAAAGCTCGCCGGTTTAAATCAATTTACGCGTCATTAAGAGTCAATTTGTTCGAAAGTGATTCGGTAATGATGTTTTCTCATCGTAAAATTAGAGAAATCATTGTTGAAAGCATCGAAAAATATAATATAGATATTATAAACAGATAGATAAATAGATAGACGGATAAATATCTAAGTACATCTGTATTTAATTGTAATTAACCCTTTGAGTGCAAAGAATGCATATATATGCGTTTAACGAAAGTAATCAATGAGAACTATAATATATGCGTTTATCAACTTTTTCGATCTCTTTTGCACTTAAGATATCATCAATGTATGAGATGTATACATGTGCGTTCCTTGGCAACAACATTGTCGATTTGTGTATTGATGATTGTTTTGAGATAATATCAAGTTAAGATATGGTTTACATTTTAAGGTTTTTAATAAAATAATTAATGTACAAAAATAACTTTCTTATATTATTTAAGTAGTTGCACTTTACGTATTTAATCAACAGGTTCACATTAGTAGAAGTATTTCAACCCCCGCAATCGAAACCATTAGGAACGCACCATCCACACGGATTACTTATGCCGGAACTATTCAACATTCAAAAAGTTAATAATCCGTATGATTAATGTAATAATAGAAACTATCTGGTACATATCACACGATTCTATTTCTCTTTCATTGTTTACTAAAATAATTCTCTAAATTCTCTAGAATTTAGAACGTATGTACATTTACGAAAGTCGTTCAAAGAGAGAGAGAGAGAGAGTCGAAATTCGTCCTACATACCTTCAACCTTGTCGAAAACTTAGAGGAGAAGAACGGCTTCTGGAAATTGAAACTACGCTTAAAGATCAAGCACTCGACAATCTCATTTAAGTTTTCCCGCGAGAATGGCAACGCTAATGCAAGTCGTTTAATCTGATCCTTAAGTCTTTTGATTACTTCAACCTATGTATTACATACGATATATGTATTCTACTCTGACTCTAATACTAGCCGAGTTCCGTTTTAACAAAGGATCGATAATATCTCTCCCTCTCAAATTCTGCAGACTTGCCGCAACATCAAATTAATTCGTAATTACAATTATTTCTCAAATACCATATTCAATAACTATATTGTGTAAAAACAATTTAAGTGTATATCTCGTATTGTTTAAAAACTTTCTTTAATTTTATCACGATAAACTTTATTGTTACTTTTTATACTTATTTCTTATTATATTCTTTTATATTTTTTTAATACCATCTCGCAAATTTCTCGCAATTATTATAATATTTTTTGTTTATATAAGTGAACGAAAATTGATTCGTAACATTGGTTGAGAGTTCTTTCATAAAAATCTTAACTCAATACACGATATTATTTTTACGCTACAATAAACTTATCTGATTTTCTTCAATAATATTTTCTATTTACAGAGCATACTTTCAAATATTTATTGAAAGAAATAATATCAAATCATTATTATCGTATAATTTGTCATTCAAAACTTTTTTTCTAAATCGTAAATATTATTAACATTATTATTCAAAAGATATCGTAAGCTTAATTATCTCACGTTAGTTAAGCTAATAATGATATCCGATCAATTAATCAAAACTTTAGATAATTTCATCGCACGCAAAATGAGCAACGACACTTGTCTCCACGTCCCTCCTTCCGTTCTTCTTTTACCCACTTAACTGACTTTAAACTCGAAACTTAAAACGAACTACTTAATCGACTTAAAAGGAGACGATAAAATGCGATAACCTTGCCGAAGGAAATTACAAAAAAAGAAAAGGAAAGAAGAAAATAAAGGAAAAAAAAAGAGTTTTCATCACCTGGATGATTAGATACACAATGTACATATAGAAAAGAAAGAAAAAACCACATATGCACCACGTGAACATATTTATATAATCATATATATATATATATATATATATATATATAATTAGAAGAAAGATGATTAAAAAAAAAGAAAAAAAATTAAATTAAATTAAAAAAAAAATGAATGGAAAAAGAATTCCATCAGCCAACTCCTTTTTAAATATCTGATTTTTAATTCCGAGTTTCATTTTTCAATGCTAATTTGTTTAATTACTTATGGGATATTTAATCAACAAAATGACCGGTTAATCAATATCGCGATTTGAAAAACGTAGTAAATGAAAAAACAGATACGTCAGATTTTATTGAATTACCCGTATCAATGTTGTAATAAAATACATAGAATATCTTTTGTAACGGCATCGATGAAACTCAAACCGGATAGTGATGTCGACTGGTCGACCAGCCAGGAAATAATTAGCACAGTGAGCGTCCCTTTAAGGCTTCTGATCCAAGGGATCGTCGATCTAATCCCCCAAATATGAATATAATTTGCTGGCAAAAAGGGAAAGAATTGTTCTTCTCTCTCTCTCTCTCTCTCTCTCTCTCTCTCTCTCTCTCTCTCTCTCTCTCTCTCTCTCTCTCTCTCTCTCTCTCTCTCTTTCTCTTTTTCCCACGCATATACGCACACATACATTCGAAATACGATCAACATACTTATATTATATTATATATATTATATTATATATACATGTATATATATATATATATATATATATATAAGTAAATTGAAATATACATAAACGAAGAAGAAAGCTGGCAGAACAATGACGGACTATGGTGGATCAACTGCTGACATAATTGCATTTCGTTCGTTGACGGTTGTCTGCTTGCCTCCGGGACAATGATAGTGAATTATCGTTATACCTATTTCATCTTGGCACAGGTTTTTGTTTTTAATTAATAAAGTCCCTTTTCCGACGATAAAATTCTTTACCAGGGATGGAGGATATCATCGAGATATCTTCTTCTTGTTCTCTGTCTTTCTCTCTATTTCTCTCTTTCTCTCTCTTTCTCTCTCTTTCTCTCTCTTTCTCTCTAATTCTATCTTTTCACCAATGACAAAGAGAACAAATAAAGTTTCATTTCCACGCGATAAACGTTCGCGACGAAACGGATTAAAAGTATTTCAGAAAATAAACGTTTTTAATCGTTCTAAATCCTCTTTCGTTAAATTTCAAGATCTCTTCTGAGCTCTCTCTCTCCCTCTCCCTCTCTCTCTCTCTCTCTCTCTCTCTCTCCATCTCTCTTTTTCTTTCTAATTTTTCTCTTTCTTTTTTTATTCGTCGACCAATATATTATAACGCAAATATTCTTTTCGTAAATTGATCAGTATCTTTTGAATATCTAATTATTTATTTGATATCATTAAAAAAGAAAAAGAAGCAGAAAAATAAGCGTTATTTATTTTTAATCAAATAAGAAAAAAAGTCAAGAATAAAAATCATCATTTATTCTTAGTCAAATGTAATTAGATAAATGAGAATTAACGATTGAAATATTTAATACTCGTACTTAGAAATACACAATATGCAATTTAAAACGTTATTACCGGCTATTTAACGCTAGACATCGACCTTTAAGTGGAATGTTTATTACGTATATATTCTATATGACTACATGTATATATATATATATATATATATATATATATATATATCCAGTTAAGATAAGAAATACATGACTTTAATGTTCGGAGTAAAAGCGGTGCGAGTTATCAACAGTTCTAAAGGAGAAATAGTGAAAGAGAGAGAAAAAGATATAGTTACGATCCATCGACTGAAGTTCTCTGTCTCTTTCTCTCTCTCTCTCTCTCTCCTTCTCTTTTTTATTCTAAGAAATGTAAAGAATAAAAACAAAAAGTCGTTTTCGAAATGAACGAACAAAATATTAAATTCAAATGAAGTCGTTTCGTTTTCTTAAAAAATCCGATCGCGTTTAATTATATCATCATTGTTTAATTATATTTTTCTATTTTCATTTAATTTATATCAATAAATATAATTGCATTTTAGTTGATATTAATTAGAACATTTTTATTAGTAACTCGTAGTTCTAATTCGGAAAAAAGAAAAAAAAGTAGAAAGATGAAAAGAGGGAAAGAGAGAAAGAGACAGAGAGAGAGAGAGAGAGAGAGAGAGAGAGAGAGAGAGAGAGAGAGAGAGAGAAAGAGAAATGGAGAGTTTCCAGCTTGTCTCGTTTCGTGCCAATAGCTTGAAATAGTTTGAATATTTTTGGCAAGATGCGGTTAGGCGTGTTACGAGAGTATCTTAGATTTTCCTGGCCCCTTCAACATTCCCGTCTCTGACTCTTGAACGAGAATGGCATTCTTTTAGAAACTAATATGAGAAACCGGAATAAACTATAGACCGTATTATCGTCATAGCAAGCATTTTCACGAAAACACGCTTACGCTTTCTCTCTCTCTCTCTCTCTCTCTCTCTCTCTCTTTCTTTTTCTCTTTCTCTCTCTCTCTCTCTCTCTCTCTTTCTTTTTCTCTTTCTCTCTCTCTCTCTCTCTCTTTCTCTCTTTCTCTCTCTCTATTTCTTTCCTACGTAATATCACGCATTTGTTGTATGGATTATGTTCGCTCTAATTTTATCATTCTTTTTTCTTTTTTCCTTTAAAGCTTGAAGACTCAAACTACTAGTTATTTCCATGATATATAATCTTAGATTACCCTTATGTAATAATATGTAATTCGTAAAAAAATATATTTTCGAATTATAAATCCAATGACATTCGTGATCACTATACCAATAATATCAACAATAAGTACGAATGAATTGTAATAAAAAAATATTGTTAGTAATTATTAATTTACGAGATATTCGATCTGTTAATTTTTTTGAGAAGTAAATAGAATCTATCGAGAACATTACAATTTATTTTAGAACATTAACGATTAAAAAAAACGAATTACTGAGCCGATTGATTAATTTCGAAAAGATTACCCTAATAAACCCTGCGATATTTTTATGGTAAACAATTAATCTTCCAACATCATGCATGATCTTTAAGTGGCATATTATTCATAAATACGAACTATTCGGTATGTAAATGAAATGTATAAAAAAGAAAAAAAATCTCGCAACGTTACGTCAGGTGAGAATGATTGGAGGAGAGAGGAGAATGAAAAGAAGGAAGAAAAGAAGGAAAAAGAAAAAGCAAATAAAAAAAAAAAGAAAAAACCAAAGAACGATGATAAAAATGAACGATATCTATCTTGGTGCCAATTCGATTCGCAGAGAGAAAAACGAGGTGGGATAGAAGAGAAAAAAAAACGGGAGAAAAAGAAAAAAATAAAAAAAAAAAAACCGTCGAGGGAGAGAAAACGAATTCGGTCCCTGAACTTATGCGAACCGAAGCAGCGCTCATCCCGACGATTAATCTCGTTCCAATAATATTTGTCTCCGGGCGAGTTCCGCGGACAGAGAAACTACCCACGGTAATCTTCCCCTCTCCCTCTTTATTCCCCACCTCCTTCTCCTCCCCTTTCCAACCCTCTTCGACCAATTCGATGTCTCTTTATCATCCACAGTGTGATTTCGTTTCGATCTTTCCCTTCGTTCTGTCTCGTCGATTTCTTTTTTCATTCTTTTCTTTTCTTTGCTTTTCTTTTTTTTCTTTTCCTTTGCTCTCTCTCTCTCCCTTCCTCGGATTTCACTACGGAAGGATGCTGAAGAAGAGTTTTATGGGAGGAGTAAATGGCGAAGAAGAGAAACGAAAGAGCCAAATCGCAGCCACGAAAATCGAAATTGCCTCTTTCCGAAGAAGTCAGATTCAGGCCGATCCTCAAAACTCCATTATCATTTTTAATTCGTTTTCATGAAAGATCGTATCTCTTTCTCTTTTTACTTTTCCTTTCCTCTCTCTCTCTCTCTCTCTCT